GTTTCAAAACAAAACTAAGTATGAACAAGGAAAAAAAATATTATATGAAAAACCTAGCCACAAACTGAAATCTAACATGTGGGATTCAGTCTGAATAAAATCTACATGATCAAATGGCTCCCATTATTTTTCTTTCTTTTTTTTTGGTTTTTTTTTGCTAGATGGATATTCTTGGCATGAACAGAAAATCCCTGCCATTGCATGCTTTGTCAACAGACAAGACGCTGTAACTCACATCTAGCAATTGATTCCAAGAGCCAGGTGTGGCCAATGATTTGGGATCCAATTTTTGCGGCTATATCCTGGGCTTCATTTGACCTTTGCCAAAGGATTGAAACTTCTTCCCCCAACTTGCATCCTTCTTGGGGGTCAAGGTTGTAAACAACTAGCGTCCTTGAAGCTGCCTGTCCAAGAGAACTTTGTTCCAGCGCTTCTTCTGTGCTGTCAAAAACAGTACCTCCTGCGGCTATGATCAAATCTTCAAGATCTTCCTGTCTATCCAGTACAAAATCACCAGCAAAATAGAAACTCAAACCATTGAAGAGCTTTGGATCCTGCAGAGGAAATAATCCAATAACTCAAATCAAAATAGAGTTCTAAGAAGATTTGCATAATTGGTTCTAAAGTTATTGGCAGATATTTCAGTTGGAGGGTAATTATTGGAAAGTAAACTTGAGTTTATGCACTTTCACAAAGTTTTCTTGGAGGAACTTACCTTGTTTAATGCCCGAAGCCTGCCAGTTTTTGGGCCATCATGACACCCATAGTTATCGAGACTAACTTCATAAGGTTCTTCATCTACATGATGCATGGCTTCCATGCATGCTTTTACCCCTGCACCCATGTCTATGTAATTAGACATTTAAAATGAATAAAAAGCGGCACACCATATGATAAATAACACATTAACTAAAAGACGTCAGTCAGAAAAGTGCATGAAAGATCTTTCAAGCACATACATCACAGGTTTGTCAAAAATATTCATCCATAGAAAATGCAATTGAAGCTTACAGTCAATTTTCAGAATCCATCTTCCAGCCAAAATGGCCATGCAGGTTTTTAAAGTCCGGACATATGCACCATCCTCATCCACAGCTGCAATTACATGTGTAACATCTGGTCTCCAGATCTTGGACACAGTTCCACCATTCATCTTGGCAAACTTGATCAAAAGAAGCTGCACCATTCAGAGAAAAGATACAAGTTGCTCATACAGCAACCAAGACATTTAGTTTATACAATAGAACATGATCTTCCAGATCACATAAAAAGAAAATTGGCATTGCAGATTGTTACTATTGGTAGAACTGTAGGCCTGAAAACCAGGAGCCTCAAATCTACAATTCACCTTATAACATTATTATAAATTTTATCCAAGGATAAGTCTAAATAGATTGCAAAACATAATGTTATCAAATTAGTAATTTGACCACAACAGGTCCTTGCAAGGTAAGCAAAGAAAGGATCAATATCATTGCAGAGATAAGCTCTACCAAGTTTTGAGACACTCAAGATTACTTTCCATCATGTCTTAATAACAACATGGAGCCAAGTGGGTAATAACATGAGTAATTCCTTTCAAACTAACCTTCTCTTCAGAAGACAAACCAGAAGGGCATAAAATCCATTCTTTTGCTCCATTTGAAGCTACCCAACTGTTGGACAGCGGACGTATTCTGCGTGGCAGAAAATTTGACATTCGATTAAACATTGACAGTGTAACTAAGATAGAAACATTTACAAGCCTTTTGTAAGGACTTAGGGCTTATAAGTAATAAGCATCTTGAAGAGCTAAGAGTTAAAAAAATAAAAGGGACCAAAACATAAGAATTCTGCTTCAAATAATCATTTGGGCATCAAAAGAGCAAAAAGAACAATGTCATACTTGGGATTCTCAGAATTTGGCTTCTCACTGGGAAATTTAACAGAACAATGAGCTGGACAGAGCAGCAGAAAGTTTTCCTGTAAGAAGTCAAAAAACCATTAACTATTATTTAAGGCTTAATGGACTTTGGCAACAATGTAAAGATAAAAATAAAATCTTAAGACAATAGATACTAAACAAAAGGACCACAATAAACACATTGAACATGCTACTCCATAAAAAAGCAAATGATATATACCCTGTCCCAACGACATTTAGAAATTCCAATTGCACAGGTAACATGATAGCTTCTCCGGCAGGACTTCACAAAGCATCCCAATGCTGCTCCCTTTAGCCCACATTTGCTGCATTTAAGCTTTGCACCCCTTGCCACTTCTGCTTTCAACTTCTTAACAGCTTCACCAACAAAATACACTTGTGGTGCCCTGCAATTTAAAATCCAAAATATGTTCACTATATATTCATCTTTAGAAATACATACACTTTTGTGTATAGAAGACATTAGTATGTTTCCAGAAAAAGAAAACCTAAATGTTTTCACATGTTTACTAACTATGGTGGACAAAAAAATTTGACATATTACTGCTTGAACATACCAATCAATGCATATTCTGTGAACAGGGATGGCATTTGAAACAGCTGCCTCATCTCCCACTACCAATTTCTCATTAGAATAATGCAGCATTGGCCCTGTAACCTGAAAGATTTCATCAATTCAATTGAATTACACTTTACCATGTATACAAAATGGCACTAAGATTAATTAAACCACGTAAGAGTAACTAACCTCTGAGATTGTGGAAGACTGGCAAAATGCACAAATGGTATTAGAAGATGTCCTGAATCCATGTTCCAGCTCAGAATTAGTAGTTGAAACTGGCTCAAAGTTCAGATTCTTTTGTCTTTTGAGGTCCCTCAAGTGACCATCATTTTCAGTTGCAGAACTATCATGCCTTTTCAGACCTGTTCTACTATCATCAATTTCACTGATAGATTTCCTGACCAAAGAACTTTCTGAAATCTGAAAAAAGAATCACATAAAAGTAGAGGATATAAATAATCACAATTATAAGACATTAGTATAACCGTAGAACAAAATAATATATCAATAAAACTAGCTTTGAAATGAAAAAAATAAAAAAAAAGTTCATATACGCGTAGACACTCATGCATCGCACAATTTCTATTCAACCATGGAATTTTCAAATTTCTGTCAAAATAAAATATTTATATTTACTTCATAGATTTCTTACACATGATTTTATTTCATCTAGCTTGCATGACATGGGTACAATACCAAGGGAGAATGCTAATTTTGCACGTTTGTAACTTGAAGAAAACAACAAAATGGCATTAGTAAATCAAGAAACTATAAAAATCTTACTTGCTCACGGTGACGATCAGAGCTATCATTATCTGAACATTTGGTATCACCAAATGAAGGAGGACTGTCCGGCAATGACTGCGCGACCTGATTCATGTCTCTCTCTATGGTCATACATTCTTCAAGTCCCCCAGCTCTTATTTGAGAGCTTGGAGGCGAATTGAGATTTCCTACTCCATTAAATCCATCTATTGGCATGACACACTTATCTACTTTGCAATTCGTGTCAACTACATCTGCAACAGAACGATTCAGACTACATGGAACCCAAACTCGTTCATTAGCACCTGATGAATAAATGGATTGCCCACTGTTTGAATTACCCCCTTGGCCATTGTCAAATGGTTCTTTAGCCATTTTCCCAGCAAAACTGATATTAGGTGAAACAGTCCTAACATCTGCAGCAATTGACACATACAGCTCAAATATTATCGCCTGACAAAGCTTTAAAACAAAGAGCAGTGGGTGAGAAGCTCCAAAGTAGTATCTAAATAAGTGTATTTTTACATAAAGGTTGTACCAGAAGAAATGGGCTGCAACAAGTTGGCACAGAAAGACGCATCCAAGCTTTTGTAGATTGCTACTATGTTTTCCATGAAAGGCGCAGGCCTGAGATCTGCCAGCCCACAAAACCATTGCATCAGATAGAAAATTAATTAGATAAATTATTTTTGAGAGTTTATACAATAATTTTTTCAGCCCAAAGAAACTAACTCTTTCACTAAAAGTACTATCTCCCATCATAAAACCCTAATTAAGGGCAATCAACAACTATACCTCGATCCGCAACTTGAACTTTACACAAAGGGCACTCTTTTCCAAAATGCGTCGAATTGGGTATGCAGGAACTGCAATTAATTCAAAATACAACGTCAAATTAAGAATCTTGAGATGCAAAGTAACCGAACAAGGAGATTAGGGAAAAGGAAAAAGTTGAAGAAGAAGACGCACTTGCAGAAAATGTGATTGCATGGAAGCAAAGTTGGCCGATGAAGCAAACTCAAGCTGCAGACAACAAGAACAACACGAAAGCAGAAAAACCCATGTCAGATAAACCCTGTTTGTTTCTCATAAAACCAAAACAAAAAATATCGATAAAATAAAATAAAAAGAAGATAAATTTAGCAAGCGAAACAAACCAGAGCGAACACTTGAGCTCGAGACCCAGTTTCTGAAAATGAAGAACGCACGGATTCATCATCGACCTGGTAGAACTATCACTACACTTAGAATCCGCCATTGAAGCTTGGCTCTGGAAACCGAACAGTTGCAGAGAACAAAGAGTGCATAAAGGTTACAGCGATGAAGGAGGAGGGCATGGAGTATTAATAAGGGGGTCTTTTCGCTCGGGGTGTTGGAGTGTGAGGGACACGTGGACACCGTGATTTGTTCTACGAAATAAGAAATGGGCGGGTGATTTTTTTTATTAGAACGCTGACGTTTCCACTCGCGCGCATTTCCATTTTCAGTTTTAGAGACTCCCGCCTGCGTGCTCCCTCTTATTTTTTATTTTCCCTTTCTTGGCTTTTTCATTTGATGGGTTATTTCAAATTTAAAGATTGTGGGTTTATATATATATATATAATAAAGGCATTAGTGAAATAATATCTCATTGGTACATTAGTTCTTATTTAATTTTCATATTTCCTCAGATTTTAAACTGAAGGAGCCATGATCATCATGTCACCTCTTTCATTTTGCTATTGCAGTCTAACAGAGTTTTCCTCAGAATTAAATTCAATCCCTGAAAAATCCACAGTTTCACCATCTCTATAGATTGTTCATAACAAACTTGGGACATCAGATGGACTGTCATTCCCTTCCTCAACAGAGACCATCTCCACGGCCTCACCGATGTTATTTACCGCCAACTATGTTGATGGTACATTAGTTTCTTCAATGATATGTGATATATCAACTGCCTTGTTGGACAAATTTTCAGAGCCAGTAGTTTGAGATTCTATGGAAGTGTCAGTCAAATCTATAGCACCTCTGTCACTGGAATTCCAATCCAATTCTAGGACACCACAAGACCCTCCTTGAGGACAAGATTCTGTAATCAATGATTCTGTTTCTTCATTAAAGGCAATTTCTGCATTGTCTACGGCTATCACATCCTCCTTCGATTGCGTATAATCATCTAAAGGACTTACAACATCATCCTCAAAAGAGTCAGTTGCATACTTTGATTCGCCATTGCACGGTTCAGCATTTAAGGCAAGTTCTGGATCATATGTGGCTACTGCATCCTCTAAAGAATTTCTAACATCTTCCCAAAAAGAGTCAGCTGCATTCTTAGGTTCTGCATTCAGTGAGGCTGATTCAGCATTATAGGCAACTTCTGGATCATATGTAGCTGCTGCATCCTCCTCTGGCTCCACATAATCTTCTAATGAGTTTCTAACATCTTCTTGAAAAGAGTCAGCTGAAATCTTCGATTGGTCCATGCATGGTCCTGTATCCGCTGATGCTGTTTTTGCATTGTAGGCAACTTTTGGATCATGTGTGACTACTGCATCCTCCTCTGGCTCCACATAATCTTCTAAAGAGCTTCTAACGTTTTCCTCTAAAGAGCCAGCTGAGGCAACTTCTGGCTCGTCTGTGGCTACTGCATCCTCCTCTGGCTCCACATAATCTTCTAAAGAGCTTCTAACGTTTTCCTCTAAAGAGCCAGCTGAGGCAACTTCTGGCTCGTCTGTGGCTACTGCATCCTCCTCTGAAGAACTAGCATCATCCGGAAAAGAGTCAGCTGCATACTTGGATTGGTCCTCTGATTCTTGTTCACTGACAGGCTCTTGGTCCAGAGGCAACAGTGTTTTCTCACTCTCCAGCAGCTTTTGGATTGTTTCAGCAGCAAAGTCTATAGCCCATATATCATCATTGACATCTCTGCACAAAAGGATTCAAGAAACTGTAACGTCTAAGGGATCAATATAAAACTCAATCTTTTGAGCATGGCAGTAGACGCACATGCTAAATGTTGAACTTACAGCTAGCACAAGTGAAAAAAAGGACCACCTTAATGAAAAAGGATGGAGTCTGCGAGAGAGAGAGAGAGAGAGAGAGAGAGAGAGAGAGAGAGAGATACCTTCTTGGATCTAGTCCAGCTGAAAGTAAGGCTGATTTCATGAGATTTAGTAGAAACAAAGGGTTATTGGAGAAGTATCCTCCATACTTTGAGATTTCCACCAGAAATTGCACATCCAAAACAAACTGCTCCAGGAAACATAAACAAAATGATATATATTAAATGAACATGCATCGTAATAAAATGGATTACAAAGAGGCTGCTAGCACTTATCTAAGCAAAAGGCAAAAGAAAGAAAAAAATGAGCCACAGACCTGCTTGAAATTGAGAGGAAGCTCTACTGTCATATTCTCCCCGTCGATATCCCGGTTCTCTTTGTTATTTGAAACCCAAACAAAGACGGCCTCTATAAGCTCCCTCAATAGCTCCAATAACCAATCAACTTCAAAAATATTGTCTTCAGAAAGTTTTTCCAGTTTTCTCAGCTCTAAAAACAGTACCTGATGAGACATCAGAATCACAACATATAAGCAGCATAAAATCTAGTCCACAAACTACAGATTTTATCAACCAATAAGAGTCTATTTACTAATGCATGAGGAAAATTAAAAGAAAAACTGCTGAACGAGGCAGTGACATGAAAAACCATCTACAACTTCCATTTATGTTGGCAAAAATACCTGAAAGGCAAGGGAAGGCATCACTCCATGAAACATAGAAGACTCACCAGGCCCGTCAACACTACTTGCAGGAGTGAGTTTGTAGCTAGTTTTGACGGACATAATTTTCAATATAAATTGCTCACAGAAAAGAGCTCTGAGCCGACAAGAAGCCTCTTGAATGAACGAAATACAACTGTCAAGTTCCTTCACTTGAACCTCAACTGGATGGATTTTCATTAATTCAGAGTTGACATCACTAACACCTTTGAAGATGCTTCTAACCATGCTGGAGAAGAGTTGCTCTAGTGCTGACAGATTGGCTAAGATAGAAACCTGTTGTTGCACTGAATTGGCCAAATAGAGTCTCGAATTATTTGTTTCTGCAACAGCTGTTTCACAGTTGATGGCTCTTTCAAGGATGTCTATATACTTTTTGAAGAGGTTCATAAGTCCACTAACGATTGATCCTTCAATTTGAAGGGAAAATAATGGGTTGACATCTACAGTGATAGACTGGAAGGGAAAAAACAAGTTACAAGTAAGAATAGCATCACACCAGAAAGATTAATAGTTTATATATACACATATCAAATACTATCATGACGCTTTATACACATTTGGTCTCTCATTCAAGAGCTTTAGTCTCATAAACAAAAGCCCAATGCATGTCTATCACCCGGCAGCTTTGCTTTTGTCTAAAATCAATACAAAGACAAAATTATACATACCTGCAGCAGTGTTACAAACTTCCGGCCGCTGTTAGTGAGCAAGCAATATTCTGGTTGTTGCCCGACAACCATGGAAGAACAACCTTCATTCATAATTCCTGATACAAGATATCTACCCAAAACCCAAGCATCAGTCGCTGTAAAGATATCAATTACTTTCTTAAAGTGGTCTAGGTGTTTATGTAGAACCTCTTCCATGCAAGGGCGAATATGCTTGATCAAATATGGCCGCAGCACTAATCTCTGAGTTTCCAACAGAGAACAAAATGACATTGCAAACTGTACAGCTTCCACTGCTGTGGACAATCCACCACTTATTTCTGAGATGGTCTTAACATATTTATCAAAACAAGCACAAAACACTTTTGTTTCTTGACTGGCCCACTGGACAAGTTCCAATGCATATGGAGAAGTTTCCCCATATAACATCACAAAACTTCTCGCCGCTTGAGAAATCATAGAGAATACAAACTTTGAGAGTTCCCTGATATATAACCTATGTAAGAATGATTTTGAAGCCTGAAAATTATGTATCCCAGACGCAATGCGTGAATGGTAGTACTTGATCAACAATTGAGTTGCAAGGTGACTGTCACCTAGCCTGCAGAGCCCCACCAGTGCCTTTTGAAGCTCCGGGGCAGCTATTCTTCGATTTTCAGCCACCATTGTCAACTGTAGTGTAAGCATGGTCTTCCTCTCAGAAACTTCAGAGCTAAACAATCTCAACTCATCCACCGGACAATCCTCTTCAAACCGCAACCTTTGAAGATTCTCATCCTCCAATTCTATGATGGACAGTGCCTCATCTATCCTGTTCTCAGACAAGAGAGTGTCCAAGGTTTCTAAAACATCATTTGCATGAGCTTCTAACTTGCTGATGGGAAGCAGCTCCTCGCATCCAGATTCTTCGATAACCAAGTCTATAGTCTCCTTTGATAAAACCTTCAAATATATTCCATCTACAAGGTCACTCACTAGCCTCTTTTGGGCCACTACATGGTTTTTCAGTTGCATCAGCTCACTTTCCACATGCCCTACTTCTTCAAATATTCTACAAAAACAAAACGATCACCTCAATTCCCTAGGGTCAAGTAACTCAATTTACTTCAAATTTTATGAAAAAAATGTTGTATATAATCAAAGATAACATTTTTAATTATGCTTAAAAAAACATAGTATATAGTACCTAACAAAGGCCGAATAATTGGAAAATATGTGTTTGTGAAATTCTTCACTGGATGCAGCCTTTAGCTCGAGGAGCTCTGAACAAAGATGCTTAATTCCCTACATAATCAACAGCAAACAAAGAACTTAATAATACTCTGTCCCTTTCTTTTTCTCAGAGCTTTCTCGGAAACTAAACAGAAGGTAACTAATTAATCAACTGAAGAAATTAACGAAAAGAACTGACCTTTCCAGTCATGGATTGAAGATCAGACTCGTCGTCTCGGTCGCTGGACACGGAGGATAAGTCGGAGGCGGAATCGGACTGCGTGCAGTTCTCCATTTCGGGAAGGTCTCTGAATCGGAATCTGGAGGACGAAGACTCCATGGAAACTGGTCTTCCACTGCCCAAACGACAACGTAAGCTCCAATGGAGGATTTAAACGAAGTCATTTTGTTAGCTTCTGAAAACTCAAGCCTTTGGAGCTCTCTCCTTGTCGTTTCGTATTGGCGCGCTTTGGTTTCTTCGCTCCTCTCTCTCAGCAAACGGCTCTGTTGCAGTACCAGGTGATACGGCGACGTGTTGGTGATGCGGAGCTGGTTGGACGGCGTCGTTTAGGGAATAACGGTGTGAAACAGAAAGAAAGGGACTTTGGACCAATAGCCGAAAAGAGTCTTTCCTTTCTAACTCCCAACCAAAAAATGGTGTCATAAAAACGACAGTAGCTTTTGCATTTTCCTCTTCAAACCGCCAAACGGCAATGCGAGCTCCGTCGTACAACCACCACGTCACGGCGTTTCTCCTCCTCCTCCTTCTTCTACCGCTCTTCCATGGCCATGGCGTCGGAGGAGACTGGAGCGGCGACTATTCCAAGCTCTCGGGAATCATAATCCCTGGCTTGGCCTCCACGCAGCTTCGCGCTTGGTCGATCCTCGACTGCCCTTACTCTCCTCTCGATTTCAACCCTCTCGATTTGGTCTGGCTCGACACCACCAAAGTACGTCTCTTCTATTCTCTTCTCTTTACTTCGCTCTGCTTTTGATTTTCGCATAATATGAGTTTTGTCTGCGTTTCTAATGATCGTTTTTGCGTCGCAGCTTCTCTCTGCTGTGAACTGTTGGCTCAAATGCATGCTTCTGGACCCGTACAACCAAACAGATCACCCTGAGTGCAAGTCACGGCCCGATAGCGGTCTTTCGGCGATCACGGAACTCGATCCTGGCTACATTACTGGTAACTTTCCATGGTCTCTGAATTTCATGTGTCTCTTTTGAATTTGATTTTTCAGGTTTTGATTATTTTTCAAGTTTCTTGCTTTCTTTATAACCATTTCCAACAGGTCCTCTCTCTTCGGTATGGAAAGAATGGGTGAAATGGTGTATCGAATTCGGTATTGAGGCGAATGCTATCATTGCTGTGCCATATGACTGGAGGCTGTCACCGTCTATGCTTGAGGAGCGAGACCTTTACTTTCACAAGCTAAAGTTCGTATTTTTATCTAATTCTCATGGCTTATTTACTACCACATTTGCCTCACCAGTCAGCTTCCATTTGGCAAACTGAGAATTAATATTTCGTTGATAATGAACTAAACCAACAGTCAAATTGAGCATACATTCTGTACCAGAAGAGTTATTGTCACAATTATGTTCATATACTGATGTGTTAATACAGATTGACATTTGAAACGGCACTAAAACTTCGTGGAGGCCCCTCAGTAGTGTTTGCCCATTCACTGGGTAATCATGTCTTCCGCTACTTTCTGGAGTGGTTGAAGCTGGAAATTGCACCTAAACATTATATCCAATGGCTGGATGAACACATTCATGCCTATTTTGCCGTTGGTATGATTGGTTTGCATCAAAATCTGTTTATCTTGAATGTTTTGTCCCTTACAATAGTGCATGTTATTTATCTAGTTATTTTGTTGAGTTGAATCCAGGAGCTCCACTTCTTGGTGCAATCGAGACAGTCAAAGGAACACTTTCTGGATTAACATTTGGCCTTCCTATTTCCGAGGTGACCTCCTTTTTCTTATTCAATAACCCTCCTCAACGATAGTTCATTTCTTTTTCTTATTAACTTTTAACTGTTCAACATATGTTTTGTTCTTCTTTTTATGTATTTAACTATCTGTTCTTTATGGAAAAAGAGGGCAAAGTGATCTTTTTATCTTTTCAGTCATTATATCCAGATACACTTAGAAATTCGAATTGATATTGTCTTGATCATGCTCTGAAAACTCAAAGAATATAAATTGGTATGGTAATCAGTTAATATCATTGTTCATACCTAAATTACCTTGGTTACTTGGACTTTCTCTGTACTAACTGCGCTAGCAAATGTGGCTTTCACTAGCTTTTTTGAAATAGTGGAGATTCATGATAGTTTCTTTTAGATATGAATTCATGTTCTAACATGTGCATATGATAAATGTTTGACGTTTCTAACATGTGCATGTTATAAATGTTTGACATTATCAGGGGACAGCTCGGTTGATGGTCAATTCATTTGCATCTTCGTTATGGATGATGCCATTTTCGAAGTACTGTAGGGCAGAGAATACATACTGGAAACATTTCTGTGGGGGAAACATGGACAAGAGGGGTCATAACATGTATCACTGTGATGAGCGGGAATTTCAGTTAAACTTTTCTGGATGGCCAACAAATATTATCAATATTGAAATTCCTTCAATCCGTGGTAAATTCTTAACCCTCATGCAAATTTTGTGGTTAAAATGTTGTTATTATGCTCATATGTACTCTTTGTATCTTATATTGGCAGGATTTGGAGCCTATCCATCAGCTACTGAAATAGCTGAGGCTAACTTGTCTAGCATAGAATGTGGACTCCCTACCCAATTGTCTTTCTCTGCTCGCGAAATATCAGATGGGACCTTTTTCAAAGCAATAGAGGATTATGACCCGGACATCAAGAGGATTTTGCACCAATTAAAGACGTGGGTAGTTTGTTTATAATCATGAAGAATACCATTTTGTGTGTTTTTTTTTTTCCTGACATTGGATGCCTTTTTATTACAACTTCTGTTGTCCGTGCTGTTAGTTTTGAACTTAGTCTGATTACAGCTTCCAGACTTCATTTTCTTTGTGTCAGCAGTACAAATCAATGCTGCCTTCAATAGCCGTTTTACTTTCTTAAGTTAGTTGTGTTAGTGTTCCAATCACCCAGGTTAAATTACACCTTTTAATGCTAGTGGTAAAGGACATTTTCTCCTATGAAAATTTGTTGTTCTTTTTCCAGTGTATATATTGCTTTAGTTTTCTCTTTCAATTCTTTTACAGGGTGGACATCCAAGATTAAGCCATCTTGACTGTAGTTACCTAATTTTGTATGGATAAAGATTCTTTAATGGTAGTTGTTGTGTTATGCATGTTGCCCCTTAACTTTGTACTTCTATTTCGATAATTTGAATTTTTTTGCAAACATAGATGAAGTTGTGTCTGGTTTAGCTTTCCAACTAGATTGTGTTTGTGATGCTGTGTATTTCAGGTTATATCATGATGATCCAGTTTTAAATCCACTTACACCATGGGACAGGCCACCTCTGAAAAATATATTTTGTATCTATGGAACAGACTTGAAAACTGAGGTATATTTGCATTCTTGTAGTGGATAGAATATTTCTATGTGTCATTAGTATTACTGAAGCAATTTCACATTATTGGCGTTCTTGTTTTAATAACTATTGCTTGGTTTTTTTTGTTTTGGTTTCTGTATCACAGTGGTGAATTTGGAAATTTAATGTTTGTGTGCTTTATTTCTTAGTATTTTCCCGTACTTGAAAATTTCTAGTTTATTATTACTAAATGGTATTTGCTTATTAAATGCACTTGGTGCTAGAATTCATGGTTCACTTTGTTGTTGTCACTTGAAGTTTGTAAGTGATAACAATTTCGAAGGTGTAATATAAGTGAAACTACTCTTCAGAATCAGACATGATTCTTTTTGAAATACACTAATTTATTTTACTTCATATATCTGTCACAAGTTCAGTAACATTTATGTTATTTTTGGTTAATTTCTCTATGAATAACTTGTCAATCAGTTTTAGTGACAATAAGAACAGCTGCTAGATTATATTCATCCTAAGATATCTCTTTCTTATGACTAGGGATTTGTTGGTGCCTGTTCTACATTTAGCTGGTAACGGTGTTGTGGTGAATGATAGTTTTGGTATCTTGGCAATGGAAAAACAGGTTGGTTACTATTTTGCACCGAGTGGCAAGCCCTACCCTGATAATTGGATCATTACCGATGTGATTTATGAGATTGAAGGTTCCTTGTTCTCAAGGTAAGTTTTCTTCATATTTCCAGGCTACATCAGTAAACCCTGTGCATGCATGAGTGTGGGTTTATGTGGACGCGTGGAATGTATTATCAGATCTTATTTTGGCTTAATTGGTAAAAAATCACGAGGTGTTGATTTCGCGTAAGCTAAGAAGAGAGATGTTACTACTAACTGTAGTAGATAATTTCATAATATTCTTGCAGGTCAGGAAATCTTGTTGAAGGAAATCCAGGAGCTTCAAGCGGGGATGAGACTGTGAGTTCAAAATTATTACATGCCAGCATGGTTTCAAGAATAGAATATGTTTAGATTCTCCTGCTTCAGTATTATTACTTTTGTGGTCTAATTTTTGGAGTATCATACTCAGCATTTAGTAGACAAATCATTAACAGGTACCGTACCATTCTCTTTCTTGGTGCAAGAACTGGCTTGGACCAAAAGTCAACATAACTAGGGCTCCTCAGGTATTGGCTCTCAGTTTAGTATATAGCACGTGACCTCGTCTACAATGACTCATTTCAACACTCTTTACAAAATTGGAAGGATCATCATTAAGTTTGATGTGTTTCTTCACCAGTAAAGTGGCATTGTATATGAGTTTTGATTTTTCTTTTCTTCTTGAAATTGCAGTCAGAGCATGATGGTTCTGATGTACAAGTGGAATTGAATGTGGAACATCATCATGAAGAAGATATTTTGCCCAACATGACAAGGTTGCCAAGGGTCAAGTACATAACTTACTATGAAGATTCTGAAAGTATACCAGGAAAAAGGACAGCAGTCTGGGAGATAGATAAAGGTGTGGGTCTCAACCAGTGCTCACAAACGCATAACTTTTCTGCATGGAAATAACTTTAAAGTATGACTAGATAAATCACATTGACTATTACAATATAATTCTATGTAGCTAAACACGATGGTTTGTTTCACTTAGACTTCAATTTCTCATTTTTACAATTTTTTTTATATATATTAACAATTAATGATAGCAGATTCTAAATAAATAGATAATACGTTGACACTGTCTTAATGTAGCGAATCATAGGAACATTGTTAGATCCCCAGTTCTAATGAGAGAGTTGTGGCTTCAAATTTGGCATGATATCCATCCCGATGCAACATCAAAATTTGTTACTAAAGGTGAATGTTTCTTCTCTTCTTCTATCCCCTCCTCCACTTCCTCCTTTAAGCAGTGTCGCTGACATATAAAATCTGCAACAGCCAAGCGTGGACCTCTGAGGGATGAGGACTGTTATTGGGATTATGGAAAAGCTCGATGTGCATGGGCTGAATACTGTGAATACAGGTTTGTTCTTTTAAAACAACTGATAAATCTTAGCTGAAAGTTTTAAATTTTCCTTCACCCCTCCCCCCCTTATTTTTTTTCAAGGAAATAGAAACAGAAAAACCTTACCTTGATGATGCAGATACCTTTTCGGAGATGTTCATTTAGGACAGAGCTGTAGGTTGAAGAATTCTTCAGCAAATCTTCTTTCGCATTATTTGTAGATTAGGAGGTATTCCTTTCTTCTCCATCTCGTACTGAAAGCTTAATACTACTGCACTTGTTGGGCTTCACCTTACATAGCCTTGTGATTTTGTGGAAACAATGGGATCACACAAGAAAGTGATACTGAGACATGTAAGGTTTTCATTGATGAAACATTCCAATATCCATAGAAATGGTTTTTTAACTATAATCTATGCAATTTTGATGATATTTCAGGTCCCTTGCCAATATTTGAGATAGTTGGAGGCACAGACCATTAACATACAAGTGGTCTCACTTTTGTCTCCTGTAAAACTTTAGCAGTTAAGCAATTCCCTTTTGTATCAAGCAGAATCGGGACAGCATCTCGGATCTTCAGAATGCTTGATGATTTTATTGATGGTAGAAATCTAACTTGGTGCGTCAGCCTTGTCGTCACTCGATTTTGCCACTGGAAGACACGCTTCTAGCCCTGATTAGCCTTCCCAAACTCTGTCAAGCTGTAGCTTATTATTTTCTTGTAGCTTTTCGACGCACCACCAAAGTATTTCGCATATGCATTGTTAACATGGCCTGCTATCAGATTCTTGCCAATAAGTGTATTTTATTTACTTGAGAAGTATAGCTTGTAAAGGCTTTAGTGCCGCAAACGGATAAAGATGCATTCAACTACACGGTCTATATCTTCAAGATTCACTGAAATATGCCCTCGTAGATTTTGTATGTAAGTTGTTACTAATAATTTATCTTTTGTATCTTTAAATCTGCAAACTCTATCTGGAAGCCTTTTAAATTGATGTAATTCTGAGAAACCCTTGTGGAACTTTGCTGAGTTGACAAAAGCTCAAGTGAAGTAGAGGCACAAACACACCCAGGTTTACATGACACATGTGATTAGCATGTGATTGTACAAATCAAGGAAACAAGCAATGAGAATCCAAATCTACATTTGTATCATACCTACAAGGCAAGCTTAATTGTTCCTATAACAAAGATGTGTGGTTCATTGATAAAAGAAAATAGGGGGATCAAATGGAAGAAATGTATTTAAGAATGCAGGATCTTCCAGAAAAGAGTCAGCTAACTGCCCTTTTTTATCTCAAAGGTGTATTGTAGTTCCATGTGACTTCTCCGGTCATCATCTTCGAACTGTAAAATAGAAACCCATCAGAAAAATGGGAGTATATTCTGTATATACACAAGAACAAAATTTACAAGTTACTACCCATTATGTAATTACCACAGAGATGAAAACAATGCTAGAGGAAAGCCATTTTGCAAACATGAAGCAATGACTACAAATAGTCTCTTCGACCCCAAGCAATTACTACAGATGTTACCGTTGAAAAATTAAAATTGAGCTTGCTGCTTGCAAACATGTACTAACTTCCACGCACCTTAAGCTTTGCTGAATAAATGCCCCTTGCCAGCAACCCAGATGGAGTTGTCTCCTCTTCCAAGGTGTGCACGTATGGTTCTTTGTTAGGAGCAAACGTACCCAACATTCCTTTGCTCTGATCAACTGAAACATAAGGGAAGGGGAAAAATTGGTATAATTGTTAGACTACACAACCTAAACTTAGAACAAGATAGATTGAAAGGATCAATCTTTCTCTCTTGTTAGTCCAGTGGGTTGAACGAAAAAAGTAAACTGGTTGCGCAAAATCAGTATGTATTTCTGCTAACAGGTTAACAAGTTGTTAACATATTTCAAAAAGCTTTCAACCATCTGCACTGCATTTAAAACATCTAGAGAAGACAATCAAACAGTCTTATGTACCTTGGAGCCCTCCTTTCCATACTGTGTTGGAGTAGGTGAGGCCTGAAACAATGTTGTGCAGAACACTAAATGCTAGCTTAAGCTGATATCGAGATCCCTCTTTGAGTGTAAACAGGACACGGTCAATCTGATTTTCATCAACAGGCAAGGGAGTACTGATTTCCCCGAAATCATCGGAGATGATTCCGATGGAGTGGAATTTGACTTCAGGTTCCATTTGGCCTAATCAAATGGAAAGACTCTTAGCAAGAATAAGACAACGGATGGAAAAACCATCACAAACTAGGTGTCAAATAAAGACCCAAGCATAAAAGTGTGACGAAGAAGACAAACCATTTAAATCGTTTTCCAAGCAACCAAGCAGCTTCTCTTTCCACCTCCTTAAGCTTTCATCATCCTGTTAAGCACAGGTAGCTTCAAAATTAAATTGGTAGGCTCCAAACAGTTTGATTTCCAATTTCACACAAACTGACCAATCTAAATAGATGCAACTTCAATTTGGATGTCAGCAGGAATTAGATCAATATAATAAGATTGATCTGATTGTGATATCAAAACTAAAAGGTTGTATTTGAATTATTTCAGATGCATAACACATTAGCATCACCCAACTGAACATAACTGAGATTAAAATCTCAAATGTTCGGGCAATGGCAGGGGCCACACCACACATTCAGACAGCTAATAAAATGAGACCAGAAAAAAGGCTTTTTCTTTCTTTTCCTGCATTTTCTGAGCTGCCAAAGACACCATCTTTTGGGTTCAAGAAAAAGCCTAAATAACCCATTACATATATTCAAATATTCAATCAAACAAAACTAACATTAACTAAGAAAAAGTAAAATAGACTCAAATCTACATAGATGAAAAGACTGAAATAGAATTGTGGGGGTGAGAGAAGAACAAAGAGAACCTTGTCTTTATCAATCTGTTCCTTAAGAGAAACCAAAGGCCCAGGTACAAAACCAGAAGCAATCCCATTGCTCTTATCATCATCATCTTCTTCTTCTTCTTCTTCTCCAACTCCACAAACCTCACTTAGCTTTTCTCTCATTTCCTTTTGCTTTTCTTCTCTTCCCTGATCACTCACAACACCACCAGCTGAAGACCCTCCTGATGATGACCCTGCCTCCATCTCTCTCTCTCTCTCTCTCTCTCTCTCTCTCTCACACACACACAACAAACAGTAAAAAAGGCACACACAGAGAGTCAAACAAGCCCTTTGAAATTTGTTGGGACAGGAACTTAAAGAACAAAAAGTTGTGTTTCAAAGAGGGCCAAAAAAATACGTATAAAGTAACGTATAATCTCTCTGTTTTATACACTTACGCTGTTTGTTTGTCTGTGGACTTTTGTCGTCTTCTAGAGCTCTTTATACCTATCTCTGCTGTGTGTGACTCTGTCGGCTATACTGTCTGTCCCCTGTTCACTGGACCGTTTACGAAGCAGCTCACTGTATTTAAATACATCCTCAACTGCAAAAGGACCAATTTGCAATTTTCCAATACTTTTCCAATAAGACAAAACCACCGTGGGGTCAATTCGTGAATAAAATTGAATAATACATGATGTCTTTTTATTTTCTTTTTACCCTATTAAATTTCAAACTCACATAAATATGTAAGTTAGATCGGTTGATCAAGGCAATATACCGGTTACTTTGTACTTAAGTTGAATCTTTTTATGGGGTTCTACTCTAATAAAAAAATAACCTTAACTTGCAGACAAATGATATCAAATTCGAACTCTTATAATACATTAATAGTGTATATGTGAGAAATCTCCTCCAAATATAATTTAAACTATTGCCAGTTTTCAAAAAAAAAGTTTGATCCACCTCCATTTATAAACTGGATCTTTTTGTCAAAAGAAAAAGAAAATTTTCAAATCCTCATCAGACCCGAAAAGAAGAAAAAGATTTCATCCCATTTTTGGCCCAACTCCGACTCAAGGGTTCTAAGCCCATTTTTGTATTATTGTTTTGCCCTAAACCTCCCCAACCCATGTATGGGAAGGGCCCAAAATAAACCTTTTCCGGGTCGGGCTATGAGAGTGGGTTCCATATAAAAGCAAAGTCAAGTTAGTTATATACAAAAGCCAAATTTCGACACGTGGTCGACTCACGTTAAAGGAATTGTTAACCTAATTCTCACAAATTTTGCTTCATAAATCAAAGTTTGAACACATAATGAACATTTATCTTCTTTGGCTACAATTCTGGAACAACATAACAGTTGAAGTGTTCATTAACGATAAGCCAAATCTTAATATGGCCTAACTTTTGAAGAATGTACGCTAAAAAACGATTCACAAAATGCATAATTATAATCCGCGGCACGCAATCTCTTTTTTATTTAGTTGCCAAATACATACGTACCTGATAGTTACAATAACACTTACGATGGTTAAATACCTATTCAAATATCCTCTTCTGCTTCATTCATACCTATGATGTGTGGCCAAGAAGAGTAAATTCAATTCAAAGATAACCATTTTAGTACGCTTCTAAAAGTATATTTACTAGTGCTTGTTAATTTGTAACCTAACACAGGACACGTGGCAATCGTACGTGGGATGCCAAAATGTACAAACCAAATAAAACCCTGGTTGGAAATCTTTTGCATTTTGATCACAATACTAATCATGACATGTGGCGGAATTAAAAAGAGTCACAAAATTCTGTGAAGAGTAAGACCAAACTTTTTTTTTTCTTCTTTTATACAAGCCCTATTAAGAAAGAGGGAATCGAACTTAAGACCTTAGATGCAGATTAAATATGTACCACTTAGAACCACAAACTCTGAAGCTCAAAGCAGAAAGAAGAAATGCCAAGAATATGTGGCAAATATTTCTTCTATTCCAAATTAATCCAAACCCATCCCTCAACATTCCAAGAAGCCAGTAAACATCTGACGACAACTCAAAGGCTCTTTCGTGAGGCTAGCAATGCTAAAGCCACACGCTTTTTAGGTGCAGAGGAGAACACGTAGATGCAAAAGTGCTCTGCTAAACTTGTGGATAAACACCTTAAAAAGAGGGCAGAAATCCCTAACACATACAGTGAACCAAGTTTTGTTGAGGTCACGAACAAACATATAGTATAATATTGGTAATTTAATCCTCAGCTGCATGATATAAATGTGGATGTTCATCTTTTATTTAATGTTTCAAATGGATGTGTGATACGTGACCCATTAGCCAATCAAGCTCTAGAATCCTCAATCTATCACATATTTTTGCATGATGAAGCATGCATGTGTTTGCATGGTTTTACATGCATGAGTAAATGTCTTGTAACTGGGAAGGAAAAGTTAGGGTTAAGTTGTGTATCTTAAACCACAAATCCCAAACTTTAAACCTTAAAATTGTGATTTTTGTTGTTGTCTATTTAATTACTTATCTAATATAAATTTAAAAGAGAGTAATTAGCTAGTACCGAGTACCAATTTACAGTATATTATATATTGTTGACATTTGTTCAAACATTATCCGTAGACCAAATATCGACACTAATTTGGCACTGGTACCAAACATATTATTATTTTTCACCTTATGTAATGGAGCAAAAGTCATAGTCCGCCCAAAGAGATCATTTCGTCTCAATCTCTCAATGTCCAAGACCCCATACCTCTCAACCCATAGCCAATACTCTCTCTCTCTCTCTCTCTCTCTCTCTCTCTCTCTCGTTGTCTATAAATACCTAAACCTCCTTATGACATTCAAATCATCACTTTGAACATCAATATTCATTCATAGCCTACAAACCTACATTCTGACATCCCATCACATAGCATTTGCTAAAAAAACCAGCCTTTTGTATTGTTTTGTCCCTCTTTTACACACGATAAAAAACACACACACACACACAAAAGAGGAAGCATCAAACAATGGCTCTGCAAAAACATTTGGTCTTGTTCTATGTTGTTGTCTCTTTCTGTGCTGCTTCATGTTACAGTAGTGGTTTCCAAGAGTTCAACTCACTTCATAGTTTTGTTGACCATGAAAAAGAGTCTGGCTATAATTCTAGAGCTCATCCTTCATACATGAACACCATTGAAGGTGTCGAGTTCATGGAATTCATAAAGCCAAGAGCTCAGTTCGAGGAAGCTCGAAAGAGCGGCCGGTAGCAAGTCATCAAGCTCGGTCAAAACGATTAGTGTTGCTAATTTTGGAGCTAAAGGAAATGGTGCCGATGACACACAGGTATAAATATAATAGATGATGGGCTTATAGGCTTGTTAATATTAGAATATTCATATAGTAATTAATGCCACACACACACATATATATATATATATATATGACCACATTAACTAATAACAACCTTGGTGGTCACAATTTCTGTTTGGTTTTGCGAATGATGGGCCAATAATGTTCGTATAAATTATTGTAGAAGTTGACAGTTTCATATCGAAACCATTAAGATAATATTTTTTCTTTACATGAGTTCGTGAGTAAATGTGATTAGTAAACGTGGTATAAATAATTATGCGCTTATTTTAATAGAATTTGTGTTGAAAGTAATGTTTAATTTGTTTCTTCATGTACATGTTGGGTTCGTTCAGGCATTTGAGAAGGCGTGGAAGGCAGCTTGTTCTTCCAATGGAGCCATAGTTCTTGTGGTGCCACAAAAGACCTATCTTGTTAGGCCGATCGAATTCTCAGGCCCCTGCAAATCTCATCTTACAATGCAGGTAATTGAGATTAATGTGTTTAATTAATTTTGGATGTTTTCATAAGCATAATGTTGCTTGTTTGGAAAATTTCAGATATATGGAACCATAGAAGCATCAGATGATCGGTCAGTCTACAAAGATGTTACGCATTGGCTTATCTTTGACAACGTCCAAAGCTTGTTAGTTGAAGGTCCTGGAACCATCAACGGCAATGGAAATATATGGTGGAAAAACTCATGCAAAAGAAAGCCTCAGGTACTAATTAAACCCTAAATTAATTTGCTCTATTCAACTATGAAAACTTGTAAAATTAACTTACGTACTAATTAGAATCTCTTCAATTGATTCACAGCCTCCCTGCAACGAACAGGCCCCCACTGTACGTATACAATCCTCTAATCAAAAAATTTATGTGCTTTTTTTAAAATTATAATTAGTGCCATTAATGAAGTTTAAAGTTAAAAATTGTTCATGTCCATGCCTTGGGTGCAGGCGGTGACCTTCAACAAGTGCAATAACTTGCTGGTGAAGAATCTGAAGATCCAAGACGCACAGCAAATGCATGTTAGATTTCAAAATTGTATAAATGTTGAAGCTTCCCATCTTACAGTAACTGCACCAGAAGATAGTCCTAATACTGATGGAATTCATATCACAAATACCCAGAACATTACCATCTCGAGCTCTGTTATAGGAACAGGTACATTTGTATAAAGAAATATATATACAGTTATTCTCTCATCCGGACGTCCGCTCATAATATTGTCCGAGAATTTATATATATATATATATATATTCACACATACACACATATACGATCATCAATTCAAACTAATTAAACCATGTTGTTTGAATTGAAGGTGATGATTGCATCTCTATTGTAAGTGGGTCCAAAAGAGTGCGAGCTACAGACATAACTTGTGGACCAGGCCATGGAATCAGGTTAATTTCCTACTCTAAACTCCAACTTCTTCAAGACCCAAAATTGAAATTTTCATTTTAAATATTATCAACATAATGTTAATGGTTTTTATTTTTTATTATTTTGATTCCATGGGATGTGATCAGTATTGGTAGCTTGGGAGAAGACAATGCAAATGACCATGTTTCAGGAGTATTTGTGAATGGGGCTAAGATTTCTGGAACCTCAAATGGAGTCAGGATCAAGACATGGCAGGGAGGTTCAGGCAGAGCGAGCAATATTGTTTTCCAGAATGTGGAAATGAATGATGTGACTAACCCTATCATCATAGACCAAAATTATTGTGACCACAAAAACAAGGATTGTACACAACAGGTAATTAATTTCATTAATTGGTATATAATCCCTTCATTAATTTGTCCTACATTGGAAACTTAATCAACCCTCCTTGTTTGATTTGTAATATATTGCAGAGGTCGGCAGTTCAAGTGAAAAATGTGTTGTACCAGAACATAAGAGGGACAAGTGCTTCAACTGATGCCATAACATTTAATTGCAGCCAAAGTGTTCCATGTCAAGGCATTGTGCTTCAAAACATTCAACTGCAAAATGGAAGAGCCAAATGCAACAATGTTAAACCTGCGTACAAAGGCGCTGTCTCTCCGCGATGTTCTCGAGGATTAGTAAATTAAAAAAGGGATTATGAAATTAGGTTTGGATTGTAAATCATGTATTAATTCTTGTACCCAATAGCACATAAATAATTGTTTCTATGTTGTAATTATATGATCATATAGTTATTGTGAATAAGCATACATAAAGAAAAGATACCAACTTTGATACAAGTTACTTTTATACAACCCAAGTGTTTCTTTTTTTCACTTGTACTTTTGTTTGTTGGCATCAAAGTATTAGCAACCCACTCGGTATCCGTATAGATAGCCTTACATTACAACCAAGGTTTCTCCGCAGGCACCATAGCCTTGTATAACAAAATATATATATGAAAAAGTGGTATTAAAAGAATAAAGAAAGTTACAACAACATAGTTTAAGACTACATTGGAGAACAAAGATCTCCATACGAGCAAAGGCATTGTATAAAATAGTTACTATATTGGGGTGATGCAGTCATCACTGGGTAGCGGGATTCGATATATCTGTACTTTTATCCCGACCGTATGACGCAGCCTGAGAATGGTAACTCAACCAAAGTATGTGTGGCTATCTGAAGGGTTCAACAGGAGCAGACTCTTCAAGAAAGACTGCAGCCTCAAAGCATTCCGCAGCCTCTAATGAAGAAGATGGGGTACCCTGGGAGTCGTAGAGTAGGCCAAGGTTATACCATGCAGAATGGTTCGTTCTATCAAGACTTAATGCATTCATCAGAAAGCTTCGGACAACAGTGTACGAGTGGTGTGAGCGATCACCAAGCCGTCTGAGGACAACAGCTGTAGAGATTAAGCTCGGTACATGGGAAGGGTCAATATCCAAAGCTTCTAAAAAAGCTCTTATAGCTTCTTTATAGAGGCCCTTAGTTTCATAAAGCACACCTGCAAAATCGATAAAGGTCCACATCTTTAGCACTACACACTATGCCAGGAGAAGTTTCCACAAACACAAATGTAGAGGGATAAATATATTTCGTTCTCAATTATTAATGCTTTGAATATTTAATCGGTGAGTGATCTAATTGTTGGTACACAGGGAACCAGAGCAGTTCATGAAAGAACTGATTGAAAGATATAAGAAAAAACACACGCACACACAAACCAAGTGAGTGTCTGAATTTACCTGTGGCATGACATCTATTAGCAGAGTAAGCATTTATGACTTTAGCTTTGGAAAGACAAATCTCAGCATCACTCCATTGTGAAAGATTTATGTAGACATATGCCAGATCATGCCATATTTCCAATTCCAACCTTCCAGAAAAATTTCCGTTACTCTGTCATTTAATAAAACAACAGAAGATTACTTGCAGTGGAACAATTCAAGTATCAAAGGTATATGAAAGAAACATCCATTCACAACTTTCATGAGGAAACAGAAAAGGAAAAAAGAAAACCTGTTTTTCAAATAGTTCTTAATAAATGGGAAAAGTAATCAAATAATGCACCTTTAGAAGCTTCTTCCCATAACCATAGCTTTTACTCTGAACTTGAAGAAAAGCGAGAAGTTGAGTGTATGTTGCAATGGCATTTTTAAACTGACCCTGCGCAATTTGAAGTTTTGCTTTGGTTCTCAGTAATTCACCTTGTTCCCATTTCCCTGACTGATCCAAAGCAGCCTCTATGATTGTTTCAGCATCCACAAACCGTTTCTGAGCTGACAGTATTCTGCTCAACAATAACCAACTTTTAATATTAGACCCACCTTCCAGCTTTAACATTTGCTTTGCACAATCAAGTGCAGCATCCAACTTTCTCTGCTCAGCATATTCTAGACTGAGATGGTAATGAATAATAGGGTCACTCATTGTTGTCATTCTCCCAGCAGTTTCCAGGGCCTGAAGTGCCTCAGCCTGTCTTTTCACTCTCTCATATTCAGCAACCGCTGATTTAGAATGCGCTGAAAGTGATATGCCCAATAAACAAGCAGCGGTACTTTTCAAATGATCACATGTACTATCCAAACTTTCAACAGCTCTAAGGGCAAAACCTACCCCTTCTTCTGCATGACTGGGGTTTTCCCCACATATCTTCGATGCCAATAACAAAGCTGGAAAGCACATTGGATCCTCGCTTTTACTCAACAATTTCCTCAGTAGATTTAAAGCAACTGAATCCTCATCTGCTCCGTAGTAGCAGAGAGCTAGTTTGTAGAATATTTCTTTCCGATCCATAAACCCAGGTAGCAATTCTTCAACTTGATTAGCTAAAGCCCTGGTATCCCCGGATACAGATAGAGCAAACGAAAGATGATCCAAGATTGATGGATCCCACTGAATTTTTTTAAGACAAAATTTTCTAAGTAGTATCATTAGCAGAAGAATAGCCTCTTCTAAACTGTTTCTGGGTACAAATGAACTGTCCATTTGGGAGCGGAGGTTTGGGGGGCTTGCTTCAGCTCCACTATAAAGAAGAAAAACAGCAAACTCCTTCTGAATCTTTGCGGTAGTTTCTACCTCAAGGTTCCAATGATGGAGTAAAGCCCATCGGTAGGACATGATAGCTTCATGCGGACAATCAGCAAGTTTCCATAATTCTGGGAGCAACTCAACACTCTTACTTACAATCTCCTGCAATTTACAGTCAGCACCAAAGTTTTGAGGCAAGCCATCTGGTAATGAAGATTCAACAACGTCCAGAATAACCTTGCAAGATTGAGCACCTTCTGCAAGAATGATTGAAGATATACATAAGCCACATGATGATGCTCTGATTATCAGGTAAAGCTCACAAATTCCTTCTTTTCTTTACCCATCCCAAGTAAAATACTCAATATTATGGTGAAGAAGCTAACAGGGCATTAATTTAAATTGAAATGGTTTGATGGTGGCATCATTACAAAATGTCTTAAAAGCCTATTATATTCTTACAAAATTAATGTGTACTAATTTTTTATCAGTAAAAGTAAACTGACCAAAAACTAAACCGCCTCACTAAAATAAATGAGTGCAGGTTAAAATTATGTACAGTCTCACATAATCCAAGATTCTACAAGCAAGAATCAAAAACATGTAAACCCGCATATTAACAGTACCTTTAAACCTCCCAAGATCCTGCAATGATTTTGCTTTGAGAAGTATTGCTTCCAGAAGTAAAGTTACAGCATTTATAGACATTGGCGGGGTAGAAAAACTTTGAGAACGCCTCCTACGCCGCTCACCTCCTCTGGCAAGGGTAAATTTTATTTTCGGAGTCAATGCAGCAATATCTATTCCTTCAAATACATGTAAAGCAGCTTCTATGTTTCCTTTCTGATATTCGTATCTTCCTAATAACGCTCTTGCTTCCTGAAAATTCAAATGTTAAGCTTTAAAATACACAAACAACTTCCAGGGTCACCAATACAAAGACTGCATTGTTTCAGACAGGCTCCTAAGGCAAAGAACTCTGCTTTTCATTGTAAGAGTTTGACTGACATGCTTTGGCATGCAAAACCACTATTGGCTGCATTTAATTATCCTCGATAGCCTCCTCCTGGCATACCTAGTTTTCTCCCTAAAAGGTCAACGGACAGCCTTTAGTATGCGAAGGGCCTAAAAGTAGGACTATTTTATGAACTGAACAATGCAGAGTGACACATTGACCTAGAAAGGCTTGTCAAAAGTTGCAATAACTTCACCACTCTGTTCATGATGCAGATGAAGGATTTGTAAGGGTCTATGGGGAAATCCTGATTATTATGACCAAATACTCATATATTTAAGGATCATAGGATGAAAAGGCAACGGAAACTGGGTTTGACAACAATCAGTTTAATGTCTATTTATCAAAATCCTTTAGAACTTCATCAGTTTTATTAGATTACCTCCTGGGAGTTTAAAAAAATATATATAAAAAAATTGAAATTGAAATTGAAAAGAATAAAACAGGTGGTTCAACAGATAAGCAACTTTTAAAGCAAACAAACCTCATAGTTCAAGCAACCACTCTCACGCAGAGATGACTCAGCTTCTTCTATATTGCCAGTGTGTGGTTTCTTTGTAATCTCAACAGCTCGAGATGAAGACTCACTGGTTGTACGATCCTTGGTTGCAAGGGATTCATTTTCTGAAGGAACCATTTCATCTGCTGCTCTTAATTGCTCTCCAGAGCAGAGGCACTTCATTACCTTTCCAAAGTTCCGCGTAGATTTACCCCTCCTCCCCTTTTCGGTTCTACTCCTCCTCATAATGCTTCACAGTGGTCCAAAATCTTCAACCACCAACAGTAATTCAGAAACTTTGTGAGTGAAATTGGAACATGCTCATTACAACAGTTAAGTGATAACTATTAGACCATGATCAAATTAAGATAAAGATCAATCAGGCAATCGCTCAAACTTTTGCATTAAAAAAGAAGTAATTATGAGAACCCAACAACTAACTAATCCTACAAATGATTGAACAACAAATACGGGAACCATAATTTTAATACTGGAAAAGAGAATACAAATGAAAATTAACATGAAGAAAATTTCTTCAACAATAAAGATATAAATTTACCAAAATTCAAGGCCAAGACCCTAACTTTATCACTCACAGAAAACAATAACTATCAAACCCAAAAACCCATCAGTCACACTTGAGAAATTCCAACAGCATCATCAAATTTCACCCCCACCCACATATGACCCTCAAATGGCATCAATTAGAAAGACAAACCAAAAATTCATGACAAATCACTAGATTCCAAACCCTAGAAACTGACAGAAGAACCTTAAATTGTATAAATAACCAATGAAAAAGAAAAGCAATCACCTTTTGTTTGTGCAAAGCAGAAAAGCAGAGACTAAGAGCTCACATGACATGAACAGCAATGCATTACTCATCACTTCAATTTTATTTCCAACAAAACCCTCCTTTGATGGGTTCTTTTGAATCTTCCTTTTCTTCTCTTTTCCTTGTTTGCTTCTTCAGTAGGTGATTTGGGTGAGAAGAGGGCATGGAATTTTGAATTGAAGCGTAAGCTTGAAGATTTTCTAGGGGTTAAGAAATTGAGGAACTCAGAATAAATAAAATAAAAAGTTGGGGTTTTCGGGAATTGGGAAATTCCTTTTTGGGTCCCGCCGCGTGTAGCATCTCATTTACTTTCACCACCGTGGCTGGGGCTGATTGTTCGCCACGTGGAATGCGTTTTAAGACGCTTCGTTGGCGTTAAACGGTATTTAACTAAACTGTACCAAAGTCAACAGTTATTTCTCCTTTTCTT